TGGTCAGCGGTTTACCCCTCGTTTCTCATACTAGCGATAGGAAAAAAAAATGACGGCTCTCGATACACCAACCATCAGTGCCGCATCTCTGGTCATCTGTGGAGACGCTACACCCTCGGGGACAGAGCTGAGCGGAGTTTTCGAAAGAGACCGCGAGCTTCGGCGATGCCAAGATAACGATTCGAAGAATCGCAGAACGGTTCTTTTACGATCGCCAGTGTGTACGTCCGTGACGACTTATGCACGTGCGTTTAATGGTATCACCAGCGGATACCAAGCCCGTCGCGTAAGACTCGTCGACGACGCGGCGGAGAACGGAGGAGGGGGAGGGGGAGGAGGAGATAAGAAGGGCGAGGCGAACGGTGGGACGGAAGCGGCGGAACGATAGCGGCGTTCTTTGAGCGCCGCGTGCGTGCCCTACGACGACCAGGCCGCGGCGGATTATCTCGAGGACTTGCCAATACCATTTATGAGACAAACGTTAACTGCGACGTGCACCGCGGAGACGACAATCCGAGGGCAATCCCACGAAGGGCGATCGCGAGCGATGGGAACGGGACGGAGATTTAAGGGCTACCGAGAGTTTCAGCTCCAGCGAGTTGAGCCAGCGGCGTACGGTATTATTTTGCCCACTGGATTGCTTGCGAGAGCCAATCAGGATTTAGCCTTCGGTCACCTGCGGCTCGATTTCTTCCACTAGCGTGAACTCGTGAAAAGTGAACGATTTTATTGACCAATATTGAATTCGTCAGTGAAATTTTTCACCCTTCACGAGTTCGCGTTGGAGGAAAAAGATTCATTATTGAACCCCTGATTTAAAACTCTGCATCCTTATTGGCTCTTGGAAGAGATCCAGTGGGCAAAGTGGTATCGTGTGCCGCTGGCTTTAGAGAGCTCTGGGCGTCAATTCTGTAAAAACGAGCGGCTTTGTCTCTTTCCCCATACAGCTGAGAAAGTTAAAATAATGTTGCTGAAACGTTGCAATGTTGAATGTTGAAGTAGAAATATCTTTTCTACGGTGAGTCTAGATTAATGTTTGTACATAAGATTCTTTATGTTGCTGCAACGTTAAAACAATCTTGAACAAATTATTTTTTGACACTAAGGAGACAGAAAGAGACAAAGCTACTCACTTTTAACATTTTCCCTGCGGTGCAAGATACAGAATTGAACCCCCGATCTAACGAAACTGCAATTTAATTGATCGAATGAAGTTGAACGGGGGGAAAAAATCAACAGTCTTGCCAAATGATAGCGGCGAGTCGGAGATACGTTCACCGTGCTTTTCGATGCCGCGATAATCGATTTGTGTTCGAACGGGCTCGGTCCGAGCGGTCGTTTTTTCATTGGCGCGCCCTCGAAAAGAAAAATACACGTACGTATCGATCATAATCGCAAATAATTGGTAAAGATGCGTGTAATCATACGTGTTACATTATGCTCACATTAAGTCGTAAGGGCATTAAAGCGCAATCGCGTGTAATTGTAGCCAGGTTGCATCTGTATTAAGTTACAGATGCGTTCGATTACAAATGCAAACTGGACTGTAACTTAAGCGCCTCGCGCAAAAGGTAATTGTAGGTAATTATACGTAAGATTAGTATCGTGATTGTACGTTGGATATAATAGTAAAATAACTGTAAGTGCGGTTCTTACAATGCAAGCTTAATCGCCTGGGAAATGTCAATTACATTATAGCCTGACACGTGAGTGCCTCGTATCGATGCGTAATCGAATTACAATAATGTTATATTATTTGAAGCCTCGAGATTTCGAATTAGAACAATATAAATCGCGAATGGTATAAGCTTTAAAATCTTTTCAGAATCAAGTGTAAATTTTTAATATCGCCAATAGATAATTAATATTATTATATTATTTAAAGTTTCAAGATTTCGAGTTTCTCTCGAGGTTTCGAATTAGAACAATGTAAATCACGAGTGATATATTTTTATAAGCTTTGAAATCTTTTGAGAATCAAGTGTACATTTTTAATATCGCCAGTAGATAATTAATCAGCGGACAATTTTCGACAGCGCGCGGTAATTTCTACCAACAAATTGACGCCGATTGTGTCGGAAATTGTCCACTTTTGTGAGAATCTTTTCTCTAATCTCTCCCAAGCTTCCAACCGATCTAAATTCAGTTTAGGTCTGCCCGAGATCTCCAACACTTTTTAAGACTTTCTATGTTGTTGATTTATCCAGGGGTGTTGTTTATTTCGATTTTTCAAATATCTTCGCTACCTCAGGTCCACATTACGTACAGCTAATCCATTGTGAAAAAAATAAATAAAAAAATATAAAAAACGAAACCTAAGGATCTCTCTCCAAGTTCCCTTCGCGCGGATCCAACGTCCTCGTCATTCCGCGGCCCATCGCGTGAAAAGCGCATATCAAATCCGCATCCGCCGACGATGTTTCCCATACACGCACGCACACGCCTCCACGCGCGCGCCACGCACACACGTGCGCGCGGGGAACGCAGCTGCTACAAAAATACGCAGTTTTGCTCGTCAGGGCTATCTCGCTTCAGGCGGCATCAAAGGAAGCCGCCTTAACGTTATTACGATAATAAAACTGAGCGAGCGAGAGTGAACCCTCGGCTATAAATACCTCTCTTTCCTTACGCCGTGTGTATGCGTGTACATGCGTGCGCGTGGCGCCTGTGTGCGTGTAGCGGCGTGTACAATCGGCTGCATTAATGGTACGGTGCGTCCGCACTTCCACGGGTGCGGGGCCTCACGACGCGCGACTCATCTATTCTCCTTGAGCCTCGCAAGCGCGAAGCGATCAACTGCGCATGGAAAAGTGAATTGCTTAAACATTACAGACAAATGTGGATGTAGATCAACCGGATTACGCATTGGAGATCCGAGGGTAATTGCGCGAACTCCAGAATTCGACCAACTCGGGACGAGTGTTGGGCGTGTGCGGTAGTGTAATTTGACGAGTACACCCGCGCACACACTGAGAAAGAAATCTTTGAAAATTTATTTGCGACATACGTTTATTTCAAAAGTCTTCGACAATTTATTTGTGGCGTCATGATGTTTACTTCAGTGAAATGAACGTCATATGCCACAGATAAATTGCCGAAGACTTTTTTCTCAGTGTACACTGCTGGATTTGGGCCAAAGACATGGCGGAGGTACAAAGTGATCGGGACAGCAAAGATCAAAGGGGCCGACAAAGAGTGGGCCTACTACTAGTTAGACTATGGTACGGGCTTAAGCGCATCGGGCGACATTAGTTCACCCGATTGTACCCGTGCGCGAGCAAGCGCAGGTAAGTGAGACTCTTCGCTGTCTCTTCAGCTTCCACTACACACGTATGTACACACATTGTACGCTCAGATTAACCACCATTGGTCGAAAATCCGACGTGGAGAGACGCGCGACTTCCTTTACACTCCAGATATAGTAATTTTCATTCAAGCACTTTCATTAAATTCATACGCGAAATCTCTGATTGGATCTGAAATGTTTAAATCGGCCACTCAAATAAATGTATTAAGTATCGCGGCTGTCGTAATTACGAAATGAAAATGGAACCGGTACGGATTAGCGCAGGTCAATGATTCGACGAAGAAGTCAATGCCTCGCTGCTGGCAGAGAGGAGCAGGTCGATAAAATTTTTTTTATCAGTGGCCCCGAATCTGTTCTCGACAGCCATAATTAATATACCCGCCGAGATCAGATTATTTTCGTATCAACGCTTTAGCAAGTAAATGGGAGGTAAATTAGAGGAAAGTCCGCTATTGTAAGGTCTCTAATATGAGATAGCAGGTTTTCGATACGCAAATTCAATCGCAAATCTTTTCCTGCAACGATTACGCAATCCAAGAATGAATTTTTCACTAAACAGATTTCGCTCCGCTATCTCAACCCCGCTATCTCATATTAGATACATATTAGAAGCCCATAATAGGTGACTTTACTATCAAATCAGTTTTGCCTCGCGGGAAATTGACCGTAGATAAATTCGTTTGAAGCTAACAGGAATATATAGAAATTATCTCGAGGCATTTTCATGATTACGCGCGAATAGGTTCCATCATCTTGCCGCTAATTAATAACTGCGTTTTCTCCGCGGAAGTGGAATTCGACCGGAAGTTGGGCATCGAGCCATCAAGGAGTCCAGCGATCCGCGGGCGCAGACGAGAAAACGGCTTCTAATTATGTCTCCTGTGGAGAGAACCGTACATCCTGCTCGGGGGAAAAAGGGACCGGTATTCTCCCCTCGTCCTCCCCCCATCTTCTCGTTCCCTCCCTCTCGCAACGTCGCGGTTCAGCAACTTTGATTCGCCTTATCGCTGCTAATGAGAGCCGGACGCGCGTTCTTTGATCTTCGATCGCTTATTAACGCTCGCTGCCATGAGAGTCTCTCCTCCCCCCCCCCCGTCTTTTTTTCTACCTGCCTCCTACCTCAAGGGCTATTAAGGCCGCGGTACGTATTGCTTTTTGTTTCAATGCGATTGTTTCGAAGATGGACATCACGAATATTAACCAAACATAAATATTTAACATTCATGTGCATATTCAGTTTATTGAAATTGCAAACTGCGCATTCTCGAGAAGATTGCACTTTCCACCGGCGAGCATATCGTGTCCAACTGAGAAATTAATGTAATTGTATACTTAGTCAAGAAATTATTGAAATATTGGCGACTATTATTTGTTACGTTATATAAAGTATGTTTTTCCTAGAATGTCTAGTTAGATATAAACCTTTTTTTTTTTTAAAAAACCCTAGTAGTACAGTGCATTGGCTAAACATTGGCCCAACACAACCAAATATTGGGCCACTGTTTAACCAATGTTTGGTCAATGCACTGTGCTGCTAGGGAGATACTTTTAATACATATCTTTACAAAGAAAAAAAAAGAAGTCTCGTTCTTCACGTTATAAAGCAACGTCTTTCAGCGTTCACGGTGAACGTTCTCTTTCCGATGTAAAGTGCCAGTACAGGAGTTTGGAATTTTAAGAATCAAAGTTATACCCCGCGCTCCGCTTGCTTTTGGTCCTCGTGGCCCATGAAGTTCGGCATCGCTGTCATGTTGTAACGCAATCCCCGGCAGAAGGATACGTTCAGCCGCTCGCACTTGGCACCGGTCCCAGGCTGCGCGTGGTTGATGCCCCATCCTCGGGCCGGCACCGCCGAAAGGATGAGCACCACAATGCGTAGCACCATTTTCAACGTCGACGGCATTCACATTTTTTATCTCCGCGTACAATGCGCGAATAGCGGAGCGACAATACGTAATATGATTCGCGCGTATGTACACTCGCGGCGACGTGGTCACGTGATCGCGGCACGCAACGCTCCACCAAGCACATCCATCCGCGTCGGTGGTCGACGGCCGACTGACGTGCTCGCGCGATACCACGCGATGTGGACGCGGACGTTCGGGCAATTCCGCGCGCGCTCGGCCGCGTTCTTTGCCCCCTCCACTTTCCACTTTTTGCCGCCACAGCCGCCGTCGCGGCGGGCCCTATCATCTCGGGCCCGACCGCCGAGGATTATGGGACCGATCCTCCGGCCGTAATTAGGAACAAAGAGAGCGGCCGGACGTTGCGCTGTCTCCCCCGATGAATTTCTGTCATATTCTTGGAAACGCGAGATCGAGGCCCGGTCTAAGCGTTCAATCTTTACCGGTTGTAGGGGTTTCTTTCTTTTTATGGGGTTAGTTTTGAGAAGATAAATAACACAACTTTCAACCGTGATCAGCTGACTGATCTTATAATCTTTAAAACTTTGGGTCGATGAAACCTTGGATCAATGTCCCAAATATTGATCTCTGATCCTTGTTTCTTTTCTAAAGTTTCGAGGATTTGTTTGTTACTTGAAAGATTTTCCTTTCTCGTGGGATATACTATTCGTCAGTTCATTCGTCACATCTACATTCAAAAGTCTTTTATAAAAGCCATTCAGTGAAATCTTTAAACGGAAATATACACATACAGATTTTTAGGTCCTTTATATCTGAAAAGACGATGAATTCAATTTCTTCTTTATTTAGAGAGAAATAATATAATTTATATAAGAAAAAATATGTAAAATCTTTGGCGCGAGTTTATGTCCAATTTTAAATTTAAGAAATGGTTTTGTAAGGATAGAAATTTGAAAATTTTTTTAAATCTTCGCAAGTAATTTAAATAATAAAATTCTCGACTTTACAAGTTCACGAGAATTTGCAACAATTATGGCGACTAAAAGTACGTAAACTAAAAACTACATAAATTCGATAATCCGATCGAATAGAACATTTTCCACAAAAATGCTACGAAGCGGATTCGAGAAATGTTGGTGCCGATCCAACCGCAAGACCAGGACCGGTCCTGGTATTTTATTCGGAAAAAAGCGCACGATGAATTCAGAACGGCGAGCCGAGTCGTTATGGTCTACCATTATGCGTGTTAACACGATTTCGGGCTTTCCACGGCCGGTCCCTTTGGGCCTTTTTTCAGTCCGGCCAACGCGGTCTGTTACGCCCATTGAAGAATGACCTTGGTTTACCTCGGCGCAGAGACTGTGAAGCGTAGAATAAAGAAATCTACAATGAGACAGGTTGGGCTTCGGCTTCCTTTGACGGAGCCCGTTCCCTCGCCGCCTCCTTTCCCCTTTGGACGCGAAAGTGCTAATTATGAGTATTTTGTACGTAGCGCGCGTCTTTTCCTCCGACGATATCCGATATGCCTTGCCGATTCTTAATTTCGTCGAGGGACAAGTAACATTTTTACAATTACAATTAACAATTGTCGCTCATAGACAAACGTAAACTCCAACTCACTGTTTGCTATTCAGGAATATATTTTTATTAGCCCGATACAAGACCCAAGGGGCATACCGGAGTGCATTTACCGGCGCGAATGCCGGTGAAGACCGATGGAACGGGGACTGGCGGAGGCGAAAGAATGGAAGGGGTTAAGGCGGCGGCGAGCCATCAAAGAGGATTGTAATTAGTCGCGCATGTGCCGCGCGCGGCCAACCGGAGCACCAGACGCGGGAATCTCTGTTTTTTGCTTGCTATTTCCACCTCGAATACCACCCTCTCCGATGTGCATCTTGCTGGGAGCGCGCAAAGTTCCTCTAATTGAGATCCGTTTCTGCGAAAGCCTCGGAACACCTACGGAACAAACGGAGCAAACAAACTTTCCGAAAACTTTGTTTATTACGCTTGTACTTCATTAAACATTTCTTTTAAATGCGTGAAATGCGCGTGTAAAAATATTTCTTGTAACATATTGAATTTTACCAACAATAAGTCCACAGAATTGCTACGTCGAGATATGTATAAATACGATAATATGTTTAACATATTATTAGCGTGCAGCAGATTTTTCAGTCTAAAGATAAATTTCTGTCAAGGTCAACTCGAAGCGCAATTTAAGAGTTTCAATAAACTATATTTGTTAAACCGCGTAATGCACGTGTTTCTCTTGCGGCCAAGAAAATTTTTTGCTGATTCGCCGACCCAAATTTACGAGACCGAAATTTTGATTTGCCCGGGCTCAACCGTTGCACTCGTGCGCGCCGGGTCGTTCCATCACGCGTCGAAGTCACGTAAGGGATGAGATGCACGAGGTGGTGCAGAGGAAGAGGGGGCGGGAAACGGGATTGCATCGGCAGGCCGGCAGATACGTAAATGGCGCGAGGAAGTCTCTCATTACTCGGTAATAACCTGTAATAACGTAGATTTAATGCGTGGCTTCAAGTACGGGCTATAGGCAATCGTTCACCGCCTTCGGCAGTTTTAATGAATTGCCCCCTTCCACTTCTCACCTCCTTGCATTGCCCTCCGTTCCATTTCGGATACCTTGATGGGAAACAAACGTTAAAGCTTAGTGCTTACTTTGTTTTCGGTTTTCAGAATCGTTAATCAATTCTGCCCCCCCCCCTCTCTCATGTACGTGTGTGCGTATGTGGCGTAGTGTGTGAAATAGTTGATAAATATATAATCCCTAGTGGCACAGTGCATTGGCTAAACATTGGCTAAATAGTGGTCCAATGTTGGTTATATCAGAACTGCATTGACCGATATTGTTCAACGCAAAGCCAATATTGGCCATGAAACAAATGTAAATATTGCACGATAATAATTATATAATATTAGATTTGTATTGGAAGTGCATCGAGCAATATTTAACAATGTAATAACAATATTGGTCTAATATTGATGCAATATTAGACCAATATTGCTAAATAGACATACTGGCTAAATAAGAAAAGGCGCCCACCTTACAATATTGGACCAACATTGGGAATACTGGATTTACATTATTTCCCAATATTGCGCCAATATATTGTGCTACTAGGGAGTGCATTTTCTGATGCATAATTGTTATTAATAAAAAAAAGATCGTGTACATATGAGTATGTGTAAAATAAACAATACAAACTGTGCAATTTGTATGCAATTAAATTAAACATTGCGCAATTAAGTGTTAATTTGTCATTGAATCTCACAAAATGCAATTTACATGTTTATCTGTCATTTATTCGCCGTGCAGTTTATTTATTATTAATTTGCAATGCAGTTTACACCGCACAGCTCTTCGACGTCTCAGAATATTTTTATGTTACAAAAAACGTATCCTATATGATGATTGATACAATCCGAGATTCTAGATAACGCATCATCCACCAGGCTGGCGAGTTTAGCATGAAATCGTGCGGCGTAAAAGGGCCGCGCAGGGTCACACCTCCGAGATACGTGAACGACAGACCCTTCATTACACGAGCGAGACGCGAAGGCGAATGAGGCCCCTTAGGCTAAGTCCCGAAGGGCCCTCCACGTATATTATACTTTATACATACATCATGCCAGACGCGCGAAAGATCGCCGCTCGTAATTTCATTCTAGCTTCTATCGACCCGAACAGTTTTTGTATCGTGAGATCTGATCTTTTAATATCATTGCGTTTTCCGGGTATTTCGAGATTGATTTTCATGAAATTTTAGAGCCTAGAATGCGTGCTGCCAAGAGAATCTTTTGCAATTTTGAGTATTCTCTGTCAAAGTTTTAAATTGTTGCACTTTTCAGAGTCTGAAAACCAGATATAATTTAAGTAAGATAATCTTATTTGACCCTTCGTGCAATTTTAAATTTTACATTGTTTTATGTTCTCAAGACCTTTTGCAATTTCTTCGCAACACAATGACGGAGCCTCGGCGGAAATTGATCGCTTTTTGCTTGCTCGGGGCATTTTATTGGCACAGATCGAAACGCGGGTCGTCGCGAGCCGAAAAATCGCGCGAGTGCAAAAAGCGCTCGGCTCCGTTCGGTCTCGCTCGTCATCGATTCGTTACGCGCGGCAAACTTCGCGGGACTCAACTCGCGCCGAGTCAGGGTGTAAACATAAGAACTCGCAAAAATGTAAGTCTCCAAAAAGATTAAGTAAAAATTGGAGAAAAGAGTGTTAAAAACAAATGTAAAGTTAATTAGGTTTTTAATAAATTTTAATGTGGTAATAAATAGGGGTGTATCTCCGGAAAGGTAGGCACTAAGCCACGTCTCGCTTCATAACTTATGGGCGAGAAAAACGGAGGACTAGGACCTAGACCAGGATTCGAACCTGGCGCTCGATTCTTGAATTCACTCGAAAGAAAAACCTATATGAAAATTCTGTTCTTACAGAAAGCTTGCAAGTCGATTGGCTGTTCGCGTGGCTTTTAGCCAATCGACTTGTCTGTAAGAGCAGAATTTGTGCATACACTTATCAAATGAATTAAAAACTTGGGCCCCTGGGACCTGCCGCTTGCCGGGCGAATGCTTTTCCAACTGAGCTGTCCACTCTCTAAAAATCAATCGGCATGTTATCACTGAAAACAGTGAATAGTCACTGATTTACAATTATAAGTATACCACTGAAAATCGCAGTTTTCAGTGATAATCCACTGATTGACTTTTGGAGAGCAGACCCACACTCGAAATCCTTTTCGCTCACCTACTTCATCAACAAAGTAGGAATAGTATACTAGCAGCGCGACTCCAGAGCGAAGCGTGGTATCTCACTCGATTATTTGGTGGACCGTCGAATGGATGCAGAGTGGCCACCCCCGAAGACTCCCCCCCCTTACGCAAATCAAATCACCCATCTTCACGCATAATAATATTGTAGTATTTTTATATAAAATACTGAATTACGCTTATTCCACGTCGCGCGTTTTCAGCCCGCGACGAAGGAACGACGACCGCGCGCGAGAGTTGAAAGTTATCGGCGATCCGCGCGGACCTCCAAGACCGCCGAGAAGTTGAGCGCCGCTATGGATCATTACGCGATGGCGCGGGGACCGCAGGGGTAGGACAGACGGGTCCGTCGAGCAGACCGAATCTCCCCTTCACGGCTTAAAAAGGTCAGCTGAAGCCGCCGCACTCGTCCGTCCTGCCTTCAACCTTCCACTTTCCTCCCTTCTCGCCCCACCTCGTCCCTCTCCTCCCCCCCCCAGCCCTCTTATACCTCGTCCTTTCGTTCCGGCCGCCGCCATTCTCGGCCGTTATTATCAATAAATTTCGTTTCTGTCTCGCTCACGTTCCATGAAATTATAAAGTTCGACAGAGCGGCGGAGCAACGGTGGCGAGATCGACTTCCTTCATTAACCCTTAAATACGCCTTGCTCCTCCGCCCACCATATAGAGGGAATTACGGTCTTCTTTATCCGGCCAGGATCCGAGTTCCCTCGAGGACCCGAGCGATTGCCGTTCGCCTGAATTAAATCGCGAGCTTATAACGCGGAATCTAAATGATACGCATGCAGTGGTATGTATACATACAGTTTCCTTTAGGATGGCAAATCATAAAAATTTTGAATGCGCAAAGCGGCCGAGAAACAGTCGAGATGAAGTAAAACGGAAGACACCGTACGTCCTGCGTACGTTTCGTAATTAGAGGAAAATAAAAAAGAAATTTCAATTTTTTTCGGTAATTTTTCGAAGTCTTAACAAAGTATGGTCCGTATTCTCTGAACCCTCTTTTACAGGGTTGGGAAAGAGTTACTTCATAAAAGTAACTCACAGTTACAGTTACTCAAAAAGTAACGAATCGTTACTTTGCAGTTACTCTCTTGCGATGAAAATAAAAATATCAAATCTACATTTGAATTGTAAAGTTGATAAGTGCGTTGATAAATGCGTAACTGCAAGGTCTTATGCATTCTGTGGAGGTTTAAAAAATATATAAAGTAACTATAATTAATGTAACTATTAAATTAGTTACTGGTTATCGAAAAAATGTAACTGAGTTAAGTTACAGTTACAGATGGAGAGAAAGTAAGGAAGTTAAGTTAGAGTTACCAAGAAAGTAACTGTAACTGTAACTTCGTTACAACTCATACAGCACGCATGTCTGAAACACAACTTTAAGACGACTTTAAGTCGTCTTTTAGATGTATGTATATGTAAAAGCTGACGTAAAGATGTCTTAAAGATGTCTTGTAGACATGTGTGCTGTATGGAAGTAACGAGTTACTTCCCAACCCCGCTCTTTTATCAATAAAAGCGCCTCTAAAAGTGGTTAATAAGTCTTCTGCTTGGCTATAAGCCACTTTTAGAGGCGCTTTTATCGATAAGAGAGGATTCAGAATACGGGCCTGTGTGTTTATTTCCGTTAAATGTTGTTGACGATTGCAATTATAAGAATAACAATATTAATGATCAAAGGCGTCATTTAAAACATTTAACGGATGATGGTAAGACAGCGATCGCTTTTATCGATGCGAATTTATCGGCAAACAGCTAATGTCAATGACGGTTTGAAGAAAGTTGTGAGATATTGCGCGAGTTTCTTGCAGTGCGAAATCATCGCGTAAACGATGGCAGAAGAAAAAAGTGACAGGTAGCGAGTATTTATCATTGATAAACCACATGTTATACGTGTCTTTTTCATATATACGTTTTACAATCCGCTCGCATTTGTCATTTATGCTCCGTGTACCGGATATTGTTGAGGTTAGGTTTTCTGGCTTAATTGTTGACAAACAATTGAAAGAAGAATTGAGATCGCGGGATTCAAGAAAATTAAAAAATGGAAGGCTTGTATGTATAAAAACTTTGGTAACTCGTGTATTTTACGTGTTAATAATTCGAGAATTAAGAATTCAAGGATCTCCAATTAATAATCGAGATAATAAGTTTCTCTACAAATTTAAATAAAGTAGATCTTAGGGGGTCAAATTAAGAGAAAAAAAATGATAAAAACGGATAAATTGATAAAGACTGAGGATCTAAAGAAATGAAATATGTAGCTGTACGTGACTGGAATTGTAATTATTATAACCTACATGGTTACGCTTAGTTCGTTAAAAGTGAATGTTTTAAGTCCAAGTGACAAGCCGGAGCAGACGGAGGCTGGTGAGGAAAAGAAAATGAAGCCCGATGACAAGGTTAAGCAAAAGTCCAAGCAGGACGAAGCGGCGGAGAAGACCAGTGTACCAAGTAACAACAATGAAAGCGGCAATTGTTATTGGTGATTATCCCTACAAATCTTGCGGCGTATTCCTGCTTTGCGGTACTCACCGTGTAACGTATTTACAGCGGCAAGGAAAGAAATCTGAACATCGTCGAATTACTGTGCGCCAGCTGCTCGCGCTGGTTCCACGAGTCCTGCATCGGATACCAGTTGGGCAAACTGGTACCGTTCATGACGAACTACGTATTTGTGTGCAAGAACTGTTCGCCGACTGGACTGGAAAGCTTTAAGAAGAACCAGGCACGTGAGTATCAATCGAGTGTCATCGGTTTGTCCGACAAGATTCGTCATCGAGCTAGCCGTTAATCGTGTTAATTCTGTCGGCTCTCCAGCATTTCCTCAGATGTGCGTGACAGCAATCGCGAACCTGCTGCAGATGTGCCAAAAGGAGAACGAGCAGAAGGTCCTTTTCCACAAGGATAAGGACATCATACCGTTCATCGATTGTCACTGGGAGAGCATGACTACGATGCCGCGCAGAGCTACTCAATCCTGGCACGCTACGGTACCTAATTGAAGCGCCGTTATTGTCACGTTGTATTACGACAGTGCATTGCGCGCAAATTGTCTCACTTTTCGCATCGTAATTCAGGGAATCGCGAACTTTGAGCGATTCCATAATCGTTGTCCTCGTCTTTGACAAACATATTGAAACGATCTCTTCTAGATCCAACGAGCATTGCTCAAAGACATCGGAATATTGTTTACGATGGACGAGAGTACGGTTGAGGGTCAGCTGTTCGGATTGGCGAGCTCTGAACTCACGTCAATTAAGCCGAATTACGAAGCAATGATTAAGAATGGTCACCTCCGAACAACAGAGATGGGCTTACAGCACGTCGGTACGTATCTGTCGCTTTTACTATTATCAATTTCGCATCAACTTGGTCTTCGATTTATTAAAGTTTTAAAACCAAGTTAAGTTTTTCAATATCAAAAATTAAAAATCTGTAGAAATCAATGGTCGATTCCCCTTTCTCTCCCTTTCCGTGTTCAAAAAATGCGCACGCAAAAGTTTGGAGTCACTCCATGCACTCAATCTTCGCACACTTTTGTACATAAGCGCGCACACGTTATTTAATTTACGCGTTATAAAATATTCCAATCCTACGTGGAGTAGAAGAAAATAAAAATTTTCAATTCACGTTTTTTTCCAAAATTTCCAGGCATAGTGTTATTAGAAGTTTTTTTGGTCATAGCTACACATACACAGATCTGTCATTTCTTATCTTATCACAAGCGCAATCACCAACTCGCTATCAGGACCAAGTTTAAATCATGACGGAGAAATCGAGTAGACATCTCAATAAACTTTGTTCTGCGACTCGTTATACAGGCCGCCACGTTACTTTCGATATCACCAGCCATATCACTTATGTATCGTTATCTGTACAAGGAATTTATCTCGTTGCGAGAATGAGTCAGTTCGTTTGGGAAAAACTTAATTATTGATTTTGCAACGTAATTCGAAAACGCTGAGAGGCACAGAGACAGTGAAAAAAAAAGGGCGAGAGAGGATTAAGAGCGATAGTATTGGCGACAAGTATTTGAAAGTCGAATGGAGATTCGGACATCACATATTAAAAATATCGTAATGGAACGTTCAGTGCCGCTTAGCGGGAGCTTGCGAGGTCGTAACGCCAAGCGGAAGATCCCAGGCGAGGCCGCGGGCACGGGTTCCGGAAAAAAGGGCAGGGGATCCGACATGACCACCCCCAAGCTGCCGGCTCATGGGTATCCACTCGAGCATCCCTTCAACAAGGACGGCTACAGATACATCTTGGCGGAGCCGGATCCTCATGCTCCTTTCCGACAGGTATACTTCACTTTTATCGACGGTTCTCTTAATCATTTGTGTGCAAACACAGTATACACAGAATTGTGCTAAAAACGAAATGGACGAGAATCTTTTTCGTTTTTCGAGCGAAGCTTTTGAAAATTGATAAAATCTCTCGGAGAAAAGCAACCCAGCAAACACCAAAGTAACAGTTACATAACATCAATATAAATGTAATATAACACATGCCTGTTATATTACATTTGCATTGTTGTTATGTAATTGTTACTTTGGTGTTTGCTGGGAACATGTTTTCGCCTTGTTTTTTTACTTTGGCAAATTCATTTCTCTTGCAATATGGATGTAACGAGAATCAAGAATTTTAATCCTTTAGCTACAAATATTCTATAGTCTAAGTATCTAGAATTAAGAGCTTTATTAGTGTTAAATAATCAGCGAGTTTTTCTATTTGACGTTATATTAATTAATACGTAAAAAGTAAGTTTGGACGATATTATAATTATGGTGCATTTCTATTTGATTTTAATGTTGCAAAATGTTGCAAAGGCAATTTCTATGATTTTACAGTCGAAAAATTAAGATTCTGAATCTGAACAATTTTAAATGATGATCTTTAAATTCCTCAAATATCTTAATTTGTGTTCAGGAATTCGACGAAAGCAGCGATTGGGCTGGTAAACCTATACCCGGATGGCTCTATCGCGCTCTTAGTCCGAGTACAGTGTTGCTTGCGTTGCACGATCGTGCGCCACAGCTCAAAGTGGCGGAGGACAGACTGGCAGTTACCGGAGAAAAGGGATATTGCATGATCAGGGCCACGCATAGTACGTTAATCTTTCTATCGATCTTGTCTGATATAATCGATTGGTGATGTGTTTCGATAAGATGATCTAATTACAACTATTAACGTGTTACAGGCGTAAGTAGGGGTACTTGGTACTGGGAAGCTACGATTGAAGAGATGCCGGAGGGATCTGCGACGAGACTCGGATGGGGACAGGAATATGCAAACTTGCAAGCTCCGCTTGGCTACGACAAGTTTGGTTATTCGTGGAGATCGAGGTATTACATATATCGTGATTATAATACAATTGTAATTAAAAAATTTCATTATTTTTCACTCTCGTTCTAAAATATATTTGAAAAATATATGAAAAACAATGAAAATTTTTAATTATAATTGTATTATAATCAAAATTGTATTAAATTTTATAAAAAATTTAACAAGATATAAATATAATAATATAAAATATAATATGTAAAATGCATAGCAATCGACTTGTTGAAAAATATCAATTTGCTAAAACAACTTCTCCATTTTCTTTATGCGAAAAACGTGCATTTCTTCGAGATGGTAAATCACGTAATCCCTTCGAGGAAAGAAAACGAATAATTTAAATAAATTTTTAACAGAAAAGGAACACGGTTTCACGAAAGTCGCGGCAAGCATTACAGTGACACTTACGGCGAGGGTGATACCTTAGGCTTCCTCATAGTTCTTCCTGACACACATCATGCGTCGCACATTCCGAATACTTATAAAGACAGAGTGAGTACAAGCAAGACATTTGAACAGAGTAAATTACATTGAATAATTTCTAATATTCAATATATATACATGTATACGTCCTATGGGGCATCTAAAACAATACACCAGAATATCTGAAAAACTGAGACCAAGAAACTGACAAATATTATAACAACTTAGTTATTTCAGAAATTGTATACACAATATAGTTATATAACAATATGTAAAATAGTTGTTGTAATCTTTTCGTACTATTTTATTACTGAAATTGCGTTGCATGTAATTGAAAAATAATCTTATAACAATGTATCTAGAGATTGTATTATATTTTTCAATTTGTGAATTAGCCCCTAGTAAAGTTCAAGAGCCACTTGTATTACGAGGAGAAGGACCAAGTGCAGGAAGCCCTGAAAGCCCTGCGACCCTTGGAGGGCAGCAAAATTATATATTACAAGAACGGAGTCAACCAAGGTAATGCCTTCATCGATATCAACAAGGGCGCTTACTACCCTGGGATATCGCTCTTCAAGAGTGCAATGGTGTCTGTGAATTTTGGGCCGAATTTTAAATATCCTCCGACGGATGTTGCGTTTAGAGGCGTAAGTAAATTTACACATTTCTTGCTATCTTGCAATACTAATTCCCAATCGTAAATCGAAATACCTTATACATATAGACGTGACTGAACATAGGCCGGCATACAAATCTTATATTCAAGACCGTCTTGAACTTACCTAAAGATGTATGGAACATTTCATTGGCTACGGAGTATCCTAAGATGATCTTAAGACGATCTTGAATATAATATTTGACGACGAATACCGTCCATAGAGAATTTTTTAATTGTATCGACTTAAGGGAAAGTGAACTTTGAGTTCACATTATTCATGCGGGATTTGTGCAAATCTGCCTTTTAAGTTTTACAAAGATATGGCTGTTTTCTATAATTCTGAATAGTATCGTTTACTTCTTGCCAATATTAACGACGTTATACAATTACTATAGATGCACGAGAAGGCGGAGGAGGCGATAGCCGAGCAGTCAATGGCGGACATACTCTATCTTACCGAAAACGAAGGCAAATTAAGACTGGATACATTCGTGTTGTGACATTAGTGCACCTTTTTATTTTTGTCGTTTTTGTTGTACATTATGCAGTTGCTACGATTGCAGGGAGATTGGCACAACAATACGTGGCCTAATTGAACCAAGAAAAAGAAAGCAAACCACGGGAAATTTTTTTACTTGCATTTATTTACATATGCATGTTTATTCTGAAAGTTTTCGTAGTTTTAGTACATTTCGAAATGAGGAGAAAGGTGAATCTCATCATTTGTTTTAACTCATTTCTCTCATATCGAATTTGCACCATGCGCTCTATTGTATTGTTGAACCAAACCCTTGCAATTAAAGGATTCAGTGCAACAACGGTCGAGAAGATAATTCTCAATATTTTTTGAAAAAATAAATCGAAGTCAAGATCGATGGAATTACATTTCTTTTAACGCGCTGTTTAATCTGTATTACGATTTTAGTAATTTAACTTCGTTCCAATTCTACAAATCGAGAAATAATTTAATTTTATCTGATTTCGTTTGGTGTATAGAGGGCAGTACGTACATAATGATCTCATTTAATAAAAAAAAAATGATATTATTTATGTAAATCGCAGCGGAATATGTGTTTATTACGCGACACTTGTATACATTATTTTCGCAACTTACGTTATTACCTTCGTATGATTAATCGTTAAATTGTTACGTAACATTATTTTCCAAAACCGCCCCTGCAAACAGGACTCGCAGCCACCGTATTGCTCGCTTCCCACTGCTCTGGTGTTTTCGCCTTGAGGACAACACGATGATATAAATAATAACGCAACGGAGCAACAATATAGATCTTTTACCTGGCCCATTTTTTAATAGGGCATACACTTCTCTCGCGTTACTAGCGAGGGATTACTTAATAGATAATAGCCATCACTTACTACAATTGACAGAGCATGTACGCCTCCTTGCAGTTCCGCTTGCAACAACTGGTTTATCATCCGGTGTCGCTAAATTTAATAATCGAGTCAGATGTCCCCTTACGTTACTTTGATCACGCAAAATAATATCTTGTCTTTGATCTCGTGATTATTTAAACTCGTTATTTTCTATTATTTCTTTTTCGCGCCTCAAAGTTACTTGCCGTATGAGATTTGCTTTCGCGTATGCGTTATATTCTATCTTGCGACTAATTGTAAGTTAAATGTGATTTTTCACGTCTAACGGGTTTAAGATCAATTAAAGAAGTGTTTAGTAATTGAGTAGGGAATGCGAATCGCGGTGGTGCTTACCTTGATCAACGGCTGCTTGTCGAATTTCTCCGATACAACCACTACCTTGAAGTGCGACTCAGAGTTCTTGGGAACATTGTGCATGTAGGACTCATTAATGACGTCGCAATGAAGGGGATTCAGCGCAGCTTCCAGCTTTCCCCTGATCGAAGTCTCTACGGGCCTGCTCAATGTCTCGCAACTGCTCATGTCGCGCCGATGCAACGTACTGCAACCTGCGTTATTGTTTTCTGCTCGATTAACATTCACATATGTTCCTCGTTATAGATAATGTACATTGAATGCAAAGCCGTCGAAACTATAAACGCTTAGGCCCGGTTTCACCACGTCGCTTAACTCGAAGCTTAGCTTAATTCGTTCTTTTCCAACTGTTACTCTAGAAAGAGGCTAACATAAGTTCAACTTGATTAAGGGTAGGCGACGTTTGGTGAAACCGGTGAAGCCTCAGAGTGTCGAGAATGCGAGAACGCAAAATGTTCAATGCGCAAGACGCTAGTTTGTGGTGTAGCTTACTCGTGGGACCCGCGAGTCGAGCAAATCCGACTGCCCGTTTCAGTAAGCAATAACATTAGCGGTACGCCAGCAACTGGCAAGTAGATTTAAACGGAATGTCGTGACAGATTGTATTGTCGACCGCGTCCCTGTGTTCCGCCAGCGGATTGCCGCTGGGAACCGAGCGGAGAAACCGATCAATCTTTCATTTCAACAAAACGGTAGATTCCGTTCGGTTTTCCAGGACCTGAGCAGAGTGGCTCGTCTTATATTCTTATATCCCTAAGTCACAAGGCAGTTATCGTGCGTTACTTTGAGACTAAGATGCAAAACGTAAAGCATTGTCTTAGGCCCGGTCTACAATGAGTTGTTAGTCGTTAGTCAGAAGTCGGTCCTTTTTCTTCCACCCAGAAAGGAAAAGGATCAACATATAGTTGCGACTTCTGACTAACAACTCATTGTAGACCGGGCCTTAAGAGTACAAGGCAGCCACTCTGCTCAGGCCCAATACTGTCGCGTTCTGCTGGCGGATTCTGTCTTCTACAGACGTTGCTCCGAAAGGAGTTCGCAGCAATTCGGCTGTACGGGATGGAGCGCGTCATTCGAGTTTCTCGTCGATTTTAATGACATTTTACCCACGCGTGTACTCTAGTGCGCGCGGAATAAGCGTGTAACGATGAAAATCGTCGCCCGACACTGCGGGGAGGAGCGGTCGTTCGTTAAAAGCGACGCTTTTTTTTAAGGTTAGGAAGTCGCGTCTTCCAGTACAACGCGTTTTTGTATAATCAACCTATATAATCGTTGCGCCTCATTGCTTCGTCGTACGTGTAAGAAACGAATTTGTAATTGAAACGCGCGTACAACAATAGCCGAGAACGCGACGAATAAAGATGCGATCGTCATCGAGACGTGAGAGCCTCGGCTCTGTGATTCAATCTCCATCCTAACCTCAATTTGGACCGTTTGAACGCGGAATTATCTCAATCGCGCTCAGACATACTCACTTTTCCCAAGTATCAGTCTTATTATCGGGTTCGCTCTGTACATTTATTCGCAGCTTCGATTAACACTTCGGTCGAATGTACTCGGGTCTACCTTATCCAGGAATCTACTCGAAAATGCCTCGTTATTCCGGGATTCACCCTCGATCCTCCCCCCCTCTCGACTCTGATTGCGCGATATGTTATTTGGTACGAACACCCGCGCGCGAATCGATTGGTCATTAGAGCGAAAATGCCCCGAGGCTCCGTCAATTTTTTATTTCATCATTAACCAGCGTGTCCTCGCTGCGTTGCCTACGATACGTTAACCCAGGCGGACTCGCGACGATTCACGATGACGTTATCGTGGCTTCAATCGTCACTCGAAAGCTACATTAGCGTCACTTCCACGTCACTTCGATGCCGTCGTGACCCCGTGTTCTATCTGGGTGGGGTAACCCTCGGCCGAACTCCGATTAACTTTGGTCCGGTTTCGTCAACGTCGCTTAACTTCAATCTTGGCTCGAGTCGCGTTTGTCTCTGGCTAAAGTAACAGTTGGAAGGAGACGAAGAACGAATGGAGCCAAGCTTAGGCCCGGTTTCACCAAACGTCGCTTAACTTTGATCTTGGTTCAATTCTTACTTGTCTCTTTCGAAGATAACAGTTGGAGAGAGACAAGGAACGAATTAAGCCAAGCTTAAAGTTAAGCGACGTTGGTGAAACCGGGCCTCGATCCTACGTTACTCGTGTAGGTAGGTTTTTTAATTGCCATTGTCCTCTCTGACGATTTACAATAAAATGAAGGTTTTCGATATGTATTCCATGTCTTTTATATTTAAAAAAAGGAAGATTAGAGAGCAGCAGTTTTTTTTTATTGAATTCACGGTCGTTTCCGTCAATGTAGATTAATTTTCGTCCTGGTTTAACTCTTACTTATCGTTTTCCAATTCCTATAGGTGAGCGAAGTTAATCTATACTGGTAGAAATGGTCAAAAATCAGTCACCGCGAAATACGTAAAAAGCGATGAAGTAAAATTCTGTATCAAATATTCGAGCGCATCGCTCGCTTTCATTCTGCACGCGCGCCATTAGAAATAAGCTGATTAAGGCTGCGGTCAAACTGCCGCTACAAATACCTCCGAGTATTCCTCTTTTTCCTTTCTTTCAATAAAGACAAAAGGAGAAGAGAAACGCTTCGAAGCATTTGTAGCGGCAGCCTGACCGCAGCCCAAGGGGTAAACGGTGCATTCCGTTTCACGCATGACGCGGCATTTGTTCTTACTTAACATTCGGCGGATAACGATAATAAATGGTACATTATGCGCATCGTGCGTCAAACGGGACGCACCCCAAGTCCCGGGGACTTTCCCTGTAGCTGAATAAGACAACAATTCCTTCGTTCGTAACATCGTTTTCGCTTCTTTATTTGACATTTTTTATTGTTGGGGAGAGAAAGCTGCGTCGGTCGGTTTTCTCATCGTTACAGCTACAACATTTCAACGAAATATTAATCGAGCGAGTGACTAGGTGACGGGGGGAACCCCCTCCCCCGTCCTGATACTTCCTATCATTTATAAAAAGACGGAGAAACAGAAACGGCTTGCTATACACTGTACAATCGGATTTGCGGTGTTGAGTATATCCGCGACGACTGCTTCGTGACACGCGAACCATTGATCTTCCCTCCCTCCCTCCCTCTCTCTACACGAAGCAATTGAACCATACAATTAGTAATGTAAACAAGAGAGTATGATTCTACACAGAAATTTGATCGCTAAGTGTAAAGCGCACCAGAGACCGTTAATGCGTTTTTAATACATTATACGCAGGCATAGTGTGTTGCAACTAATCTCGTGCGAGCATCCTCTACGCGAAGGCACTCCTGAACTCGCATGCGAATGCGATAATAAAACGTATCTTATTTAAGTTTGAACTTCTTTTTTTTTACGTAATACAGTGTCGTCTCGTGACGGTATACTTCGTTTCAAATTGATATCATTGGCAATTGATAGCATCGGAATTTGAATCGAGTAAAAAATCGCGTTGTGTAACTTTTATTTCGGCTAAAATATACATCTCGATAAAAACTGATAAGCTCAATTATCCGCCAGCTTCGCACAAGTCCAATTTTATCATTTTTTTTCCTCAACGTTCGACAAATTGGTCATTGGATTGTCATAAAATTACTTACGTAATAATACATCGTGCGGAACAGGGTATTTTGTCGTATAAAAAATTGTAACATTTTTTTTGTTCTTTTTTTCCCCCGAATGTGGTATTTTAAGGGATTGAAATCGCGAGTCAATAAAACATCTCGTTAAATCCGTCGCAAGAAATATTGCCGGTTACGCCCTTAAGAAAAAAAGTAACTCTAAAAATCGACGGGTCACCCGTTAGCCTATTTACACTCTACAATACTATATCGAGGATTGTGATCCTCTGGATTTTCGGTCATTCGTGAAGGTCACTGCATAATTCGGAGTTCGCAACGGGATTCACACAGCGCAAAAATAAATACTGCGCCGATGCCAGGTGTATAGAAAGCAATAAAAATATTTAAAACAATCTATTAATGTAAAATAATGAAAAAAAACTCATACGAAACAAATGATTATTGTTACAGGCGAGAATAACCAATTGTTACTATGAAACTTGTATAAACAATTAATAAATTCTTTCACAAATTATTTTCCAATAATCCGACAAAATTTCTGGCAATATAAAGTGAAAATCATAATTTTTCTTACGCTTTTCTTTGGTAAAAACAAAAGTTTCGCGTGTTCAAAAATATGTCCTACATTTATAGTCTTCAACCAAATCCGCAGAACTTGTTCCAACCGAATGACCGAGTGTCATCTCCGTCGATTTCTTTAAACTAATTAATCACTGACGCGAGAAGCTCCTTTCATGGCGTCGCTACGCTGCTCAACCCTTTAACCGCGATCCATCAAGTACATTCGATGTGCTTGTAAACAAAATCACTTGATAGAATGAGCAATTCTCATTGTTTGCCAGTAAAAGATATAAAGCTTTACTTGAATAACTCTTAAAAAATATTTAAAAAATTTTATATTACAGCATTAAATATCATCATGCAATTAAATACGTAAATATGTCGAATGTACAAAATAACTGTGATAATTGTTCAATATCGCAAATAGCTCTCGAGATATTCTTAAGAATGCGATGACTGTCGAACGGTCGTAATACTTTATAATACTTTATTCGTTGAATAAACGCTTCGAAGAACAGTTAAAGGGTCAAACGCAGGCGCACAAACTGAAATATCACGTCAGCGTTACAATAAAGCGGACTCAATATGAGCCGCCGTAATAGTCCGATAACTTTAAATTGGCCTATCTTATTCTTTCGAGGCGCCGCATTCCGTTTTGACGGCGGGAGGACCCTACAGATTCTCAAATTCTAGAGTCCCTCCTATACAGACCCCTGAGGATTTTTAGGAACACCAAAGTCCATTCGTTGATTAAAACCGTACATCCCGCGGACCTTTGTCCAGAGAGATCGCTACATCATATTTACACACTGACGTCGGCGGCCTCGAAACCAATTACGGGAGCGAGATAGCGGGCGATCGACTACATTCGCATTAAGATGAACTCGGGAGTCAACTGCCCGAGAAGAAATTCGCGTATGCGTATAAAGCCAAAGTGGACCAAGTCTGTTCCGTCCGTTCGAGTTTCGGTTTAAATACGAAATTATATTCAAAGAGGACCTTAAATTATTACATTTGATCTACTTTAACCTCGAACGTACGCTCTATATGTATATAATACTTATAGCTGGACAAAGTACGGACTGTCGCCGATTCAGTTGCGCTGCCTCGCCAAAGAGCGCGAACACGGCGCACGATGACGCCGCAGCAGCTGCAAGTCTTCCCATTCGGTATACTCGACTAGTTTGCACTTTAGTAGGAAAAAAATGTGTGTATGCTGTTTTTCTCTCTCTCTTAATAAATAATAACTTAAAGTTTTACGGTCGAATTTCCCCTCGAGATCACGACTGCCGATTCCGTCGAGGCCGCAAATTCTCGGGATTTACCGAAAAGCAGGAGTCGGATTTTTGAGGAATCCCGAGGATCCGCCGAACGACCGTATGATCGCACGCCGCTCGCGTACCTTCCGTAAGTCCAGCCGACGCGCTAATACTAATTAAACTACTCGAAGTACGGCGATCTGTCGGCTATCAATATTAATTGCGCAAAAACATATACGCAGAAGCTACGAGGTAACTCGCTTTGTCGCACCCATGTATCGCGGTATTATTTCTTCGCGGTATCAGTCTCATGAGAAGGCGCTTGTGGAATAAAAGAAGGCACTTGATTGCATCCTCTTCAGGCACACTTTCTGATATGTCGACTATCGGCCGGATCTCTCGGTTCCCGTACCTGCGCCGTTCCTTCCCCGAACTTTCTTCCGTCTCTTCAGATTCCGGTCTCCTCGCATGCTTTCCAAAATCCTCTACTTTATGTCAGCTCCTTTTCCGTTCTTACCATTCGTCACACCAATTCGTCTTTCCCAATTCCCATTCACGTTTCCCCTCGATTTCTTGACTAGAGCCTCTTCTCGCTTTCACCGATACGCCTTGCAATTTTTATCGATCCTCTATCGATAGTTTTCTTTCGGGGCTTTCAGGCTGTCGGGATAGACCTTCTGGTCGTCAATAGACGTAGATAGTTTTCAGCTGATCCTTCAGCTCGGGGGGAATGGCACAGGTATCCGTCTCCGTTTTCCGCTTCACCAGCCGACGCCAGCGTCCACCGAGGTTCTTGCGGAAGCCCTTCGCGAACCCAGGCCGATCCGACGGCAGACCGTGTACAAGGGTATCCTGCGAATCAGAGAAATCTCATTTTACTCACGTCACTAATCCATACGCGTGGAAACGAACCGATTTACGTTACGTGGGATATACAAAAGTACGTATTATTCGTTCTACGAAAATAAACGTGATCAAGTAACGAACTGGAAAACGGGAAGGCGTTCCTCATCGAGAGCCGAAATATTCCAACTGTACTTTTTTCTTCACGCTTTAACAGTGAACGTATCGTTGAGAGATTCCGTTCGAGTGCGAAGTTGAGAGAATGCGACTTCGTCTTTTGAAACGCGATTTGCCGAGTGGTTCTTTCTCTCCCGAGTGAACACCAAGTAACAGTCCCATAACGTTAAAACCAACGGCACACGATACTATTTTCCTATTTCTACTGGATTCCTTGCGAGAGAGCCAATCAGGATTTAGTAACTATAAATTTCTGAACCACAGCAAACGGTTTGCCGTCGCACCTAATACAATAGGCACAGTAGCAAAATATGTAGCTATCACAACTGAATATTAGCTCTATTTTACAACTGAAGTTCATTTGCCACATGCGGTCTTTAGCTACGGCAACTTCTTTCCGTGTGGTATCGTGTGCCGTTGACTTAACATTATAATTTCTCACGCGACAATACAACTATTGGGGGAAAGTTCTCTATTATGAGATAGGATTCTAATACGAAACAGCAGGTTTTCAACGTCCAAATTCAATCACAAATCTTTCTCGCGACGATTACACGATCCAACAATCAATTTTCCACTAAACAGACCTCACTCCTCACGGGCAATAAATTCACGATGGAACCAACAGATGATGCCTACTATAATTTAACCGAAACCCCCGCTATCTCATATTAGGAGCCTATCGCATAATAGGAGACTTTCCTCTACGTGCAACGTGTGTTATACATTTATCGTCGAGCAGAAAATTATAACATTGATGTTATGCAACTACTTGGCGTTCACTGGGTCGCGATTCAAATATCTGGTGGCTTTAGAGAAACATTTTATCTCGTCACATTGTAAGAGCTCGTCACGGATTCGCATTGTTGGCTAGAGAACCGCGGCGACTCCGACGTTCTGCCAATCTCGCAGACGGAGGAACGGTATTTCGTGAACGGCTCGACAGCTGCACCCTATTCGGGGGCCCGGCTGGTAAGCGACGGTAGGTAGACGCCCACCGGCCACGCTAAATTTAGCGCCAGGCCGGAGAAGCATCGAGAGCTGCACCCATTTCGCCGGTGTATTTATACGTACGTGCCGCGGCTTTATTATATCTCGCGTGGTAATTTTATCGCTAAACTACGGCCGTAAAGTTAATCGATCGGGTGCCGTCGGCATAGCAAAAAGCTCGGATCCGCCGCTGCAAAATTTATTCAACAGTCAAACGCGAACGTAACGACGTCGGGGCGATTTTCAATTTCGCGCACACTCGGCGTCGCGCCAACGACGAATAGAAACGTGCCTTTTAGCTCGGCGGCGATTCCGGTGGAAATTGCAGAAAAGCCGCGCGATCGGCTCGAATCAAATGTCAAATATAATCGGCGTAAAGTTATTAAAGGCGACGAGGCTATTTCAAGCGATCTATATTAAGCCGCCCTTTCAATTCCCCCTTTCTAAATAAAGAAAGTAATTTTCTTAATTGTCAACCGCGCGAGCCACCCCCTCGCAGGATCGATCAATTACGCCGCGACCTAATTGCGAGGGCAAATTTGTTAATAACAAAAAAAAACTTCCAACGTGACTTTTTTTTTTACATAAAGCACTCTTGTTATAATTACATCGTAGAGTTAAAGGAATTATATTTAAAAAAAAACACGTTCCATTCGCCGCGATCGAATTCGCTTCCCCGCGTTAGGTTAGGACGGTAAAAGGCGCATCGCAGCTGCAGCCAATCAGCGATCGCCGTTCGAACGGCGGGAATAATCGATCGTTCGCGTGGTAGCGTGAAACCGCGATGGCCGCGGGTCACTGTCCCGAGACTATCGATTGACGAACGGGCTTCTTATTTTATCCCCGAGCGCCGCGGCGAGTGTATCGGAGAAGACGGAAGTCGAGTGGTCTGCAAGCTTCGTCGATTCTTCCTATCAGCGAAACGTTTTCCGATCGGACTCGCGGAAACGGAATTTGAAATTTTACCGCCGCTCTAACGCAGCAAGGCTCTTTGAGATAAAATAACTGCGTGGTTTTAGAGAAGGTGAACGTCGAGATTCGCGTTTGTTCTGCGCTACGACAGTAAAGTCCCGAAACATCTTATCTTTAATTTCACAAGTTGACGGTCTACCGAGGGGTGAACCCGAGGGGAAAACCGCTGAGGGCATTGTGGTGTACAGATTTGCGGCATTACTAGGATTTTTTTGGGGGGCATTAGGCCTTGCTGGGACATTATAAAGATAAAATAAGATAATAAGATAAAGTAATGCCCACTGGGCATTAGTGGGCATTGGTGTAGAAGATTTTGGTCAGCGGTTTCCCCCTCGGGTAAATCGCAGAGGGCATTGTGGTGTACAGATTTGCGGCATTACTGGGCATTGCCAGGCACTTTGTGGGTATTAGTTTGGGCACTAGGCCTTGCTGGGGCATTACAAGGATAGCGAAAGATAAAACAAGAGAATAAGATAAAGTAATGCCTACCGGGCATTGGTGTAAATGATTTTGGTCAGCGGTTTACTCTTGGACTTTGTTTAAATTGAAATCGTTATTGAATCTTTAATACAGCGAGAACTGAAGTCGGGTTGTAAGTGAAGTTAGCGCGTCGTCAACGAGGAAGAAAGAGGGAAGGTTGGGGCTCGTCATCGTCCTTGTCGTGGGAAAATCACCCCTGCGGAATAGCGGCCGCTTTCTACGCCCGCGGATCTTTTTTCGGGTGTCACCGGTCGATATGCCGCGCTAGTCGAGTCGTTGGACCGCGCAGCAGGGGCAAACCAGTAAAATCTAGTAATACTGGCTCCACCGGTTAGTCGGTTAGCCGTTGCGACGGTTAGATCGACCGATAGATCGCAGGGAGCGATTAGGAGCGAAGTTCGTGCCATTGATTGGAGCAGATCGTGGCTTCGTCGGGCAAGGTGACTCGAAAAAAAAGCATCTCAAGGAATTCTCTCCCGCATTACTGTCGTCGCGGACCGAGAGACGTACGCGAGGAGAATTTTCTCTGCAAGTTTACCCTGAAAATCGTGGGACGACGTGGCATTTGTGAGTTTTTTAATATAAATTTTACTAGGAAAATGTGTGCTAAAATGTAAAATAACGATTACACGATTTTCAGGTGAATTTGTGGGGAAAACCTTCTCTCGGACAATCTTGTAAAACATTCTGTAACTGCTTCTGCATCTCCCACATTCGCGTACGATTCTGCATTAAGCCCGTATCGGACTGCGGGTTGCGATTGGGATTGGATTGATATTTGACCAATCACAGTAAAGCCCGTATCAGACTACGGATTGGGATTGAGATTAGATTGAAATTTGACCAATCAGAGTAAAAGTTACTAAACTTAAGATTAGTAAACTTTACTGTGATTGGTTAAATTTCAATCTAATCCCAATCTCAATCCGTAGTCTGATACGGGCTTAAAGCTTACTCTGATCTCAGGTTTAGTAACTTTCACTCCCATTGGTCAAATTTCAATCTAATCTCAATCTCAATCCGTAGTCCGACACGGGCGTTAGTAGTGTCTTGAAGATTGAGACCGATTTTGCTACCGTTGGAAGCGAACAAATAGGGATTATTTTTACGTGCCTACTTTGCATTATAATTTTATATAATAGAGAAAGGTCCTCTATTGATAGGATATGAGACAGTAGTAGTTTTCAACGTCCAAATTCAATCGCAAATCTTCTTTCGCACACGATTACACGATCCAACAATCCATTTTCCATTGAACAGATTTCACTCCAAGGGCAATAAATTCGTGGCGGAACCAACAGATGATGCCTGTTGATTTAGCAGAAACTCCGCTATACCATATTAGGTGCCTATCTCCTAATAGGGAACTTTCCTCCATATAATTCGAGAGATTTGACATGGGTTAAGAATCTATAAACGTGTCTGAGCAGAAAGACTGTCTTGTGCTCCTATGACACAAGACAGTTATTATGCGTTACTTTAAGGCGAGGATTTAAAACGTAAAACCTTGTTTTCAGAGTCAAGACAGCCGTTCTGCTCAGGCCCTAAGGAACTATGAGAGCTAAGACATAACGAACTTGGAATTTCTACGTGTACGATTAACGCTTGAAAGAGACTGGCGCTCTCGGTCATTCCGTTGCCTCCGATGAAACGTGCATAAAAATAATTTGGCTTGCAACTCGATCAAAGAATACGGGCGATTCCGAACGTAACATAAAAGCAGATACTCGAATCTCTAGGGCGGAAGGTCGATTAAAACAATTTAAATGCTTCGCCACCGCAGCACAATGGGACATGTCCAACGTTCTTTGCTCCTTCCCCAAAGTACAGAAAAAGGCCGATAGACGGAAGAAACGTGTCAGGACGCACGCTGAAATCGGTCCAGTCCGATACACAAACGCACCCCATCCTCCTCGAGACCCCGTTTCTTCCGTCTGCCGGCGAGAGGAATCGCGGGTTCTCCGGTGCCGGGCGGAGGCAGGAGTTGAGAACCGCCCGAGAGCGCCAGTATAAAATACAAAACGTACAAGGTGTGTGCACCAACCTGATCGTTGTACAACGCGTACTGCGCCGGCGGCATGTGGGGGGGCGGGTACGGGGGCGGGAATTGCCACGCGAACGGATCGACCGGATTGGCGGACGGCGTCACCGTCGTCGCGGCGAATACGTGCTCGTCGCAGACGCTGTTGCCGAGGTCGGTCGACACGGTGGTCGTGGACATCTGCGTGCAGCAGCCGTCCGGATGCGCGGCCACGATCGGCGCCCCGATCGTCGCGAGCGACGTCGCCGTCTGCACCACCGTCGCCTCGGGGTGCACCGCGCCCGCGCTCGAGTGATGGTCCTCGCGCTTCCGCAGCTTGCTGCGGACAAGGCGAATCGCGATCATGGTCCCGTTGCTCCCGACCATCTTCCTGCACTTTCGGTACAGCCTCGCGAGCTTGCCCGTCTTCGCGACTGCCGCGTGCCCGGAACCCGGAAGCTCGTTGGCAGCGGTGCCCTTTGAGCTCGCCAGGGTACACGAGTTGCCGAGGCTCGGAGGGTCGAAAGGTCTCGACGTGCCTCCCGTAAAGGGGGAGATCTCGCGCCCGCGGGCTCCGCGATCTACGTGTCCCCGGGGACTCCGCGAGGTCCAGGTCTTCTCGTGAGGGAGGATAGCAAAACGGAGAAGGAAACGAGCGAGCGCTCTCGGATTCCCCGAGACTTGGTTATTCCGAGAGCTCCGAGTTATTACGCAAGTCGACACGGTTCCGTGGAGTGCGGCGACGTACGTTCCATTCGAATTGTCAAGGATTACCGACTTATCGAGAGACCCCGACGTTCCGGATTTCCCTCCAACGACTCGGGGAATTCTCAAGTATGAGGAAAGAAATTAAACGTGGGTGCTCTTCTCTCTCTCACTCCGCGTCTCTTTCTCTCTCACGCTTTGACGTTACGCGGCGCGGTCGTCGAATCAGCTGTCTTCCTCGACGTCGAAAACCGATTTCTCTGTCTCTCTCTCTCTCTCTCTTTCTCTCTATTTTTCTCCGTGTCTCTCCTGCCGATCCTCAGTCTCTCTTCAACGCGATTGTTAGCCGACCGAAATCGGAGTTTAGGAACACTTGGCGGTACTTTTGCGTTCACGTGTTTTCCCGCGAGGATTTGTGCAGACCTTTGCCTCAAAGTCTCTCTCTCTCTCTCTTTTTTACTCCTCGCTGTTAGAGTTTAAGGAGCACGTCAGCTCCTTCTTTCCAGGTTACTCTCCGTCTCGGTCGCACGCACAGTTTCCTACTTCCGCCTCGCTCTGTCAAACGGCTACCTCACGCACTCGCAACGCTCTCTTTGTCGACCTTCCGTCTCACTCGCGGCTAGGATGTCACCGTTTACACTTGCGCGATACTCGCACTGACTAGCATCGTGAATCCTTGGCACTCGGTGTCATTCGGAAGGACCTCTTTTTATCTCTCTCTCTCTCTCTCTCTCTCCTATCGCGCGCGCACGTGGATGGACGCGAGGGAACAACGCGCGGCGGCGGCGTCGTCTTTCTCTCTCTCTCACCGCCGGAAAGGGCCGCAGCCACGACGTCAACCAGCCACGACCTACCTCCGTCCGCTCATCGCTCGCAGACTAGCGCGCATCTGAACCGGGGAGCGACGCGCGACCGACTCTTATACGCGCGCCCGTGACGTCACGGGCGAGCGCCGCGGCGATTGGGGCGCGCCGCGCGCGCCGGCCAATCGCCGCCGCGGCGAGAAATTCAAACGGTACACGGCGCCTGCCCGCCCGCCCGCCGCGCCGCCGCGGTACGCCGTCGCGGGTGTCGCGCGCCGGAAGGCCGGGGCGGACTTGCGTCCTTACGTCGCGTAATCGCGACGTGTAACCGACGGCGACGCGACACGACGCGACGCGACGCGACGCGGCGGCGGTAGCGGCCGTGGCCTCTCGTTTCTCGTCGTCGTAACACGCTGCTTTTTTCCACTCCTTCGCTCGGCGTTTCTCTTTGCACGGTGCATTGTGCACCGCGATGTATCGCGACGATTTTAACGAAACGTAAGTATTCAGCGTATAATCGTTCGGGGTATTCTGTGGGGAATCCTCGCGTTTGGCGCCGAAGGCCGTTTTTCCTTCCGTTTTCGCGGCGATTCTATTTTCGCGACGCAGGTACGCGACTCGGTGTTTGCGCGACACGTTCGGTTTGCGCTAAAAAAAAATTCGACGTTATTTTTAACGCGCAGTCAACGATTCGTGCATTTCGTCGGTAGAATTTTATTTCTCAGGCATTTCCACGGCGTAACTTAACGCTTCACTCTCGAGTAGAATGACATAAGAGTGTAAATTAAAGCCAACGGTACACGTACTATTTTTCCTACTGGATTGGTTACGAGAACCAATCGGGATTCAGCTTTAAGTCATCTGATCTAAAACTCTGCATCCTCATTGGTTCTCGTAAGCAATCCAATAGGAAAAAGTAGTGTCGTGTGCCGTTGGCTTAAATTAACCTTTTAATACCGCTTTTAGCGAAATGAAAACGTATTATTTTACGCGTTTAATAAGACGAGAGGAAAGTATCGGAGTCATCAACTCGTGCGAACGGGACGTAATTAAATTCAACTCGATCAAAATATACAATCCGCTGTCGAGCTTCATCGCGATATCGCAAAACAAAACAAAAATAAGAGACTTCTCAACCGGAGACAATTTGTAATCAGTCACGTCGAAAGATATTGATTGAAATTATGGCTCGGATAAGATGGCATCGCGCTGCGCCAAGTTTAGATCGAGTTCAATTCGCGGAAGTCCAGCGGACAAACGACGGAGGCGGTCGCGCAAGGGCCGAGGGTGCGGAGGGGCATCGTCCTAAAGCGCGCGGAGACCGGCGCTTATCAAGCCGCGATAGGAAACAATAATTCAAAGAGCGCCGCGCGCGTCCCCCCGCGCGGCGATTACGCAACGGCGGCTGTGCGGTGAGGACGCCTTTATTGCTTCGCACAATACGCGCGCGGAGCTCGGTCCGCGTTACACGCGCGACGTTTACGTTGACCTAACAATAACGGCAAGGTCCTCATCTTTGAATCGCGCGCGTTTCTATACGGCTATATGCCCACGGTGTAAAGATACAAGGTGAAACGTTGCGCATGTAGCCAATTTTGGGGGCAAATTGCTCATTGGTTCTTCCTGCATTCAAACGCAATGATTTGCAGTATGAAGGTTGGGGCAAATTTCTGATTGGTCAATTCGGTAGTTTGGGCTACTTCTGATTGGTTGACACTGCGCATCCACCAGATTGCTTCACCTTGTATCTTTACACCGTGGCTATGCCTCTGCAATAGTATAACCATAGTATAACTAGTATATCCACTCTCTGTCGGCCCTTGGATCTTTTCGGTTTCGATTACGTGGCGTTCCGCCATGTTTTTGGTATAAAATCCTGTCACACTGATTTCGCACTACCACATATCCCATACAGCACAGAAAGTTAAAATAATGTTGCTGAAACGTTGCAATGCTGAATGTTGAAGTATAAATATCTTTTCTACGTTGAATTTAGGTTAATGTTTGTACATTTATTCTTTATATTGCTGCAACGTTAAAACAATCTTGAACAAATTATTATGTTTTGATAATCAAATAGGTACTTAAAAATGTATCGTGGTATTCCGCCATACACCCGGGCAGGATTCAGTGACGTGTGTGTGTGTGTGTGTGTGTGTATATATACGTACTCATCCAAGCGATCCAAGCCACACTACCGCACATACAACTTTTCTCTCATTGGCTTGACCCAAATAATGGTGGATGCGCAGAAGGGATCGACGCAAAACAAATGATGGAGCAGGCATACTAGTTAGTTATACTATGGTATATTTATTTAGTTTTGCGTCGATCTCTTCTGCGCATCTACTGTTATTTTGGTCAAACCAATGAGAGAAAAGTTGTATGTGCGGTAGTGTGGCTTAGATCGCTTGGATTAGTACGTGATCGGGACCGCAGAGATCAAAGGAGCCGGCAGAGAGTGGACCTAATAGTTATATTATGCTATGCCTCTACTATCGGGATTCCTCGGATAAAGTCACGTCGGGACGCCGCGAGGCGAGAGAAAAAGAGCGGCGTGCGACACGTTAAATCTCGGGCGCGAAAATTTGATTCAATTGAATCGAACGGAATAAGATAAAGCGGAGATAAGGCATTCAGTCCACTTTACACGATCTGTCATGTCAGAAGTCGAGATAGCGTTTCTATTTATAATTTTACTGCGAAATGCACGCAGAACAATTGCGAAAAATCGGGATATACGCAGGTGTATAAGATATAAGTATATATTTAAAGACGCACGTATATAATTAATAATATACGCGGCGGGTAAAATTATAAATAGAATTCTGTTCTGAGGCGCGACGCGAATTATGGGTCGTCTCTAGCGAGCTTGAGAGAATGCAAGGCGGCAGGCTGTCGATTCTCAACCTTTGAAGATGTTCTAACCGGGTTAAATAAGACAGGATGAAAAAAGAGAACCGAGGAGGTAAGACAAGAAGACCTATCGCGCATAAATATAATCTCGGCGGTCTTCTCCACTTATTTTGAAATCTATTCTCGTGCGTGACAGCACAGATAGGAGATTCCTAGAGCGGGTCACTCAAGACGGTTTTTCACCGACTATCGTATCTGCACCGAGATGCAGATACGAAAATCTATTATTAATTGATTATCTACCGCAGACGCGATAACGCGAATGAGTCGCGCGATTCATTTAGCGCGAAACAATCAACGGCGGGAGGAGGGAAGGTTGAATCTCGTCGTGAAGGAAATTACAAAAGCTAGACTTCTCTTGGAAGAATTATGCCTCGCGCTGCCTCTGCCTCGCAGAAATCGCGTTTACAAGTACAGCAGATCTCGGTTCCCTCGTTAATCAAATTGGCGAACAAGACCAAACCGGCGACATCGTGGAAATTGACGACAGATTTGATTTGATGATAAAGTTACATCAGAACCTATCAAAATTGTGACAAGAGACTGCGAAATTCAGATATTGTTCAATATCTGACAATACCATTCAATATTATTATTTGTCGAAATAAAACGAATGTAATAAAGCTATTTCAATTTTTTTTACTTTCGTGCTATTTGCTGCCCGTCTTGTTTTTGCCGATGATAAATGTAACTCTCATGTCAATCTTTATTTTAAAACAAGAGACGAGCGGTTCTTTATATGAAAATTCTCGTTTAAAAGACGCGCTCGCTTTTAGCGTCGGCGAGAATAGAATTGCGTCTCGAGTTTCAGGCAATTGTCCAAGACATTGCGATTAAGTGTAAAAAGCGATAAAATAAAAAAAACAAACTTGTTCGTGACTATTCGTTAAATTTAATTTATCTTATGCACAATTTCAGTCTGATCGAGAAGAGCTGAATGTATGTGTATATAAAACAATTCATACAGCACGCATGTCTAAAAGACATCTTTAAGACATCTTTAAGTCGTCTTTTAGACATACACATCTAAAAGACGACTTAAAGACGTCTTAAAGATGTCTTTTAGACATGCGTGCTGTATGGGAAGGTACCTTGTAACTGAAAACTTTTTTAAACAAAAGTTTAGACAGGACTCGTCTTGTTTTCGCAATCCCTTTCACCATTCTACATGCGAAAATTCTATCATACCCTTATAGAAATGTGCGAAATAATTACTCGAAAATTACTGTGCATCAATACTTTTTAATAATTCAATTACTATACTGAACTCTAGTTATTGTTCAGTGCTTTTTTCGTTCTCAGTTGTTACATTTCTGTAAGGGTAGTCTCTTTGAAATCGCTATTTGCGTTCGGACGACTCTGTGCGATTTAGCTGCAGACAGGGTTGGGAAGTAACTCGTTACTCATAAGTCTTGTAACGAAGTTACAGTTACAGTTACTTTTTTTGGTAACTCTAACTTAACTTCGGTGCTTTCTCTCCATCTATAACTGTAACTTAACTCAGTTACATTGTTTCGATAACTAGTAACTACTTTAATAGTTACATTAATAGTTACTTTATATATTTTATAAATCTCCACAGATCGTATCAGGTCTTAGCATTTGCACATAAACGCCTTTATCGACATCTAATAATTCAAACGCAGATTTGATATTTTTATTTTTATCGCAAGAGAGTAACTGCAAAGTAACGATTCGTTACTTTTTGAGTAACTGTAACTGTAACGCGTTACTTATCAGAATTGGTAACTTGTAACTGTAACTAGATACTTTTATAAAGTTACTTTCCCCAACCCTGGCTGTAGACAATAAAATTCTTTTCCGAAGGAAAGACCCGCCCCGCGGGAGAGGCCGACGACGTTGTTCCGATACAGCATCCGCTGCGAACGAGAGACAGCGTCTCGACGGTGTCTCGTGATGACGACGACGTTCCGGGAAAGAACATCCGAAAGGGAAACGCGAGAGCACCTCGCGCGAGCGTTGGCTTTATCTCTATTTCCGTTCGGCGCACGCCAGACGTATGCGTGCCGTTTTCAGCCACGCGCGTCCCCCGATGCCACGCGACACTCGCAGACGGACGGATAAACGAAACGCTCTCGGGTTTCGAGCTCTTGTTTTTTTTTCCTCTCATTTCGCTCGTCTGCGTTTCCTTCCCTCTTAATATATTTGCCTCTGTACGCGCACCCCTCTGGACGGGAAAATATATCTATCCATTGTTTTAAGAGCCGCACAAAGACGAGCGACAGCCCGAGATGCGCGCAAACGAATCTGCAGCCGGGTGCGTTTTCGGGAATAGTGAATCAAATTATGGAGACCGTTAAATGCGCCGAGTGAAAAAATGTTCGCGAGTCTGAAAATTTTCTTCGTTAATCGCGCGAACGGTTTCAATGTGTTAGTGTATAATTAGATTGGTCACGGGCAAGTTAATAATACACCTTCGATAAATTCAATAATACTTATTTGTTACACTTTATATTACGTAACGGCCACGTGATTGGTTCAGTCGCTCATTGGTTATTTGTTGCTCATTTATCTTTATAAGTTACGTCGAGTTTATTGAAAAAAAGTTTAATTCTTATCCGTAAAATTCTTATAAGGAGGTTCCTTGAGAAATCCAATTTCCGGTTTTTCTCCCAATAAATTCTTTTGCCGAAGAGGCTCATTAGCATCATTGTTATTGAATGGAGTTTGCGATTGTGCCAAGTTTAGTTCCAGACCGCGTTGCAAAACTGACAAATAATGGTCTGCCGAACGAAAGATGCGCATAATTTGCGCGAAATTATTATTAGACCGTATATTGGCATTTTTCTGTTCGACAATTTCCGTTGTTAGATTCGCTTCTTGCAATTTTCTAATATAAGATGCACCGCAGCTTACAAACGCTGCGCCTAATCGACATTGCTATTAGGCGGAGAGAAGAGACAGAGCGAGAGAGAGAGAGAGAGAGAGAGAAAGAGCCTGAGAGGGAGAGAGACTCAAGAGACTTGGTTGGCCTTAATTGGCAATTTTCAGCGCGCAATTCGTCGATGCGAGATCTAGTTAGCGGCCGCAATTATCGTGCGTTCGTCACGCGAAATTATTCCATTCATCGCTTCCATTTTTCCTCCGCGTGTATTTTTCCGCGTGCGTTTTAGCACTTGCATTTAACGTCACTCGCGAGGCTGTACCATCACACTTGCGCTAATGTGAATTACTTAATTAACATCATTAATAGTCTAACCCGTAATACTAAACTGAAAGAAAAAAAATAACGAGCTGATAAGGCGCGAAATGCACGGTTGTTGATAAGGTCGTGAAATATGTATTTTACAGAAAAATGGATAATAACTACATTTAGCGGCAATATTCTGTATTAATATATAATTGCGTACGTCACAGAATAAATTGATATAATCACTGGCAATGAAAAGACTCTTAATATTGAATTAGTATAATGTTGCAAAAATAGATCTTGAATCAATGTGTAACAATTAACATAACATTAATAAATGTGGAGAACTTCAACATATTCTATTTGCAACATGAAAATAGATATTTTTATGTCAGAAGTGATGTCTTCATATCGATCGCCATTTTAATGCACAACAAGGCATTTTTTTGGGGTCAGTCTTTCTCATCAAAATATGATAAAGTAGGATCAAGAAAGGATATCAATAACCGTGCATTTTGCGGAGAATCCACGTCAGGATGGCCTAAAGATTTTAATGGCCATTAGTAGATGGATGAGGCTTATTATGAGATTGTCGATAACGACATCAACGATGGGAGATAATAAGTGATAAAGTGGCACTTACCTGATCGTTACGGCGAGCAGGACGATCAAGACGCCCACCAGAACCATAGCGATCAGCACCCCGCCTATCATGTAGACGCTACCGGTGGGTGGATCTGCAACAAAGAGATATCGTCTTGTCAGTATGATCTCGCTCGGGACCAAAATCCCCCCATTAAACCATTCAAATTCGAAGCGTTCGAGAGTTCGGCATCTGTGGCATGCCCGGCGTTCAGTGTCGCTGCATTAAAACGTCGAAAATCTCAAGGAGAGCCGAGCGTACCACGTACGAATGCAAACTAGCCAAGAGTTATCGAAATGTCCGCGGCAGTTGACGCGTACCAAGAGCCAAGACTCGGAAAACTCGACGTCCATTTAAGAATCGAGAGAGTTCAATGAACAAGCTAGCGTTAATTAAGTAGAGGGAGGAACGCAAGTCGCCCGTGAACCATTGGAATGATTTCACGGGATCTGGGAAAGATCGAGAGAGTTGGCGAGGACGGGAGTTGGCGAACCGATTCGAAGCGAACTCGTTCGATCGAGGAGGACGGTCTCCCGACGAAGGCCGAGCCACATTTTTCCCCGGCTTCTCTCGCAGCCGCGGTAGAAGAAGAAGAACCCGTCGTCCTTTCAAGTTCAACGCCACCTTCGAGTTCGACTCGGGGCAAAAGGGATCGCGTGAAAGAGGGAGTCGCTGCGGCGTGGCGCGAGGCTTCGTGAAACCCGCTGAATGGTTTCTCAAGCTTCCATCAAGCGAATCTTACGCGATTATTCTTCCGTTCTCTCGCGCTGGACCACTTCGAGACAAGGGAATTAGTCACGCGTGCATAGCTCCTCGCGTGACTAATTCGTAGAAGCGACGCGCGCAAACGCGACACGCGATTTTGATTAAAACAAAAACATTCCTTGGAAAACGAAGAGGCTATTCCGATAGAGAGAGAAAGAGAGAGAGAGAGAAAAAATACTTGGGACGCGGTGAAAGAAAACAAGGATTTTCGGGGCGAGTAAAAGCATCCTTTGCTCCTTTCGAGAGAGACAAATGTCGTTTTTCTTGCCCCGCGGAGTGTCCCGTATCTATTTTCCCTTGGAATAAAGCAAGATTGTAGAGACTAAATCAGGATGTCCGATGAATTGTGTGCTGCGCAGGGTGATTTCGCGGATACCTTATGTACGTGACGGTAGCACACGTGTTCGGTGAATCAGCGTAATATTCTGATCGTCACGGCGGGACGCTCTGCGTCTCGTCTGCGAAGAGTTTGGAACCTGTCCAGTTTGTCGCAAACAGCCCACAGGTTGCCGTCAGCTGACGCCGTTGGCAGATTCTAAGTTTCGCTTTTTTGACCTCGTCGGATATAATCGTCACAACATTTCAGGAAATTCAAACAGCTTCTCCTCCCCTCTCTCTCTCTCTCTCTCTCTCTCTTTCGTTGTGGAGAGTCGAAACGTTGAGGACGTCTCATCAATTTTAACTAGATAAGATCGTCACAACACGTCATTACATTTGATCGATCTTGGCGGTTAACGTCGTTGGAACGTTTCAGCGAAGCCACGCGACGTTCTCACAAAGAGACGATCTTGAGGACACGACTGGATTAATCTTACCGGGCAAAACTGGTTCATATGTTGAAAGAGGCCTAAACGAATGTGTCGCATTGAGAGTCGATCTTGGGGACATTTGAACGACATCAAAAATAGAGGAATAAAGTGTTGTCTTAAAATTTTAGTTAAACAGAAAAGAGATTAAGTTTGTATTATATATTCTCCCATGTGCCCGTGTCTATGTATTATTATAATATGTTAAATATATATATATATTATTATTGTACAATTGTATATACATTTTTATATGTTACGTAATTAGATCAGTGTTTTCTTTTTCATATCAATTACAACTTGCAAGTTGAAAATTGTAGGGAACTATAATACTCAGCTCACGATAAATAGTGAAGATATGTAAAAATCGTGCGTTACATAAGGATTCGTATTATCGGCAATACGTAATGACACATGCTGCACTGGTTAATAATGCAAAAGCCTTCCTGCGACGCGCAAGGACAACGCATTAAATGTTTTAATAACTAAAGCGCACGACACTAATACAACCGATTGTCCTTGGTTAGAGTTGTGTGCCTTTTATCTTAAAATTATTCGAGTTTTCAAGAGATAGTTTGAAATTCTTAGCTATTGGAATTGTAATATGCATCATGCGATTTTGTGTACGTGTATAAATGCATATGTATGTTTACTGTAATATATATGTAATATTCTATATATTATATATTTTGTATATAAAAATTATGCTATATATGTATCTATTTATAATTATATGTGCGTGCTTTTGCAGACGCTGATAGGCGGTTAGTTTTTTCTAATATTGTTAAGAGGCAAAGAAAAAACAAACAAATGGCGAATAAATATGTAATAAATAAAAGAAACTGTTGTTATACTTTAATGAAATCCCGTCCGCAATTCTTCAATCCTAATTTCAGTAGACGAATTCGAGATTTGGACAATCTGCTAAATTTTTCTCCTACGATTAGAGAAAGTGCCAATAGTAGGAAACCGAGAAGGGAGAGGGAAAGGAAAAAAAGAATGCTTTGTAGGATTCGCGGCGGTTTCGCGATTGGCCGCTCACTTTGCCATTTCTCGATGTAGGACACGGTCGTCTGAACCACGTCATGATATTAAAGACGAGGAGACTTAGCCGCGCGTCGATGTGTCAGTTCCGTTGTGTGCTAGTGTCGTCAACGTTTCAGATAGGTAGTCGTCAACGAATAAACAGACGTACGAATTTTATAGTACAGTTAAACACGGTAATTTATAAACCTTGTATCTACAAAGTTTCTCTGTAGTCCAAGACACTGTTTGCGGAGGTCTTAAAGGAGCTTAAGGCATCGTAAAATATTTGCAGACTCCCCCTGTCAATCGATCAAACATTCCCATGTTCCCTTTGCAATTTCTTTTAGATATGTTTACTCAAGCTCGGCCTACCTTTATCGATTTCATACATTTCTAAACGTTACACATACGTAAAAAAACAAAATTCTCGGGCATCCTTTACAAAATGTATCATCCTGATCCTTAATGCACGGGCGTCCTCAGCGATCATCATATTTATCGATTCCTGTCAATCGCTTTTCGTTGAAGAATTAAATACACGTACACGTGACGAAGTTGTCGATTGATTTTATGTCGTAATAATTTAGGATTTATATCCACACTGAGAAAATTTTTCATCGGATAAACCAATTAAACAGCGTTTCCGATATGGTTAATTTTTCCGATTGCGTTTTCCGACTAAATTATGAATACATCCAATGAAATTTATCCGATGAAATGCAGTTACCGATGAAACTTGATTGAAAAACCGACCACATTTTTCATCGGATATACAATTTAATCGGATATATCCGTTTGCTATTATATAATTGGATTATCCGATTATATTTAATCGGAAATTTTTCTCAGTGCATGATACTATAAGATACATCTTCCGAAACTAGACGGTATTCAAGCTGGAACGCACGAAAAAATTTAAGTGGCGAGACTCAAGACTTAAGAATTTTCAGTATTGCTTAAGTTTCACAATGGCTGCTTGCGTCCTCAACTGTCAAGGCTCGAACACACGGAAAAATTTTACCGGCAAAACTTAAGACTTCAGGAAAATGACGAACGACTGTCGAGAACGTAAGCAGCCATTTTGGGAGCTTAAGCGGTGCTGAAAGTTCCGATTGGTTGAAATTCTTAAGTCTTAAATTTTACAGCTTCAGTTTTTTCGTGTGTTCGGGCCTTTACCTCCCTTAAGTTTTACCGCTTACGTTTTTTTTTGTGCGTTTGGACCATTAAAGCCAGCGAATCGAATGCAATCATCTTTAGACTTTCCCTCGGCCTGAGTGTATCGCAATTCTCGATACCTACCGATGTCGAATCGCGCGATGATATCGCGGTGCCGCCTGCCGTTCCGGGCCGGTTTCCGACCATGCAGAGCGTTGCGGCAACGTAAATCGCCGCGACGTGACTCGGACGTGACAAGGGACTCGGGCTTACGCAACTCGGCCGCGTAAATGGCCGTTTTTTTCCGCGATTCCGCCATCAGGATTCCGGCGACGGTGACGCGCGAGGTGCCCGCGAAGGGAAATGTTGCCGGCGTCATCCTCATTACCGCGCTTGTCACATTCCGCAAATTGCCGGCGTGACGTCATCGCCTTCGTGAAATTTCGCAGACGGGAATAGACGGGGCTCTATTATCGTTCGCCGTGGGACACTTTGCGAATGAGACCTCCGGGCGATTTTTGCCGAGCCACGTTTGATCGAGTCATCGTCCGCGCAACCTGCGGGCCTCGATCCTCTATAGCCAGTTGCCGCTTAACCCTATTTATAACAGTATAATCGAGACGTTACATTATCCCGTTAAAAATAGCAGGGTCCGCTCTAGCGCGGGTAAGGCGCTTGTCGAGCGATAAATCCGTAAATAACTTATAATAAGCCGGGCGTAATGAGACGGTGCCGTACCAAGTGAACGGCTTCCAGGCGTCGACGTCGAAATACCTTTCTCCGCTCGCCTGTGCTCGCGTGGCGTGATTAATTATTACCGCGACTTTATCAATGACGTTTCTCGCAGGGATATGACGGGAAGTCAAGCTGGAACCTCGAGTGACGAGGGTCTTAAGTCTATTAATAAAACGGCAGCAACTATCCGAAAACAAAGAACGATCGAGTGCGCCGGAGTTAATCAAACTAACAATGAAGATGTGTTGTGTAGACTATCGAGCGAGATCTGGTCCAAAATCCGGTCGTTCCGCCAACGCGCGCGTCACGAAAACCCATTTTCCAGCGAAACTATAGCTTCCGGCGCCGCACACAACGCGCGGATACCCGGAAAAGGGATCTCCACCGGATCTCCTCTCGCCGCAGATCCCCAATAAGCAGACTACCCGCGGTATAACAGATTGGTAGCAGATCGCGCAGATATCACAACATATCCGGTATCATCTGCATCCGCATTAAACTCGTGTTTTGCCGGCAGAGCCTGCCGATGTAGTCTGACAGCGGATCGTTTGGCAGAAACCGAACAGAATCTGTCATTTCGTTAAACGGAATAGCGTCATTTCGCTCA